ATGGCATGTGGACTGTATTGAGGGGAAAGCCAGCCGGGTGGGCATCTGCAGGAAATGAAAGTTGTGGCTCAGCCTCCAGGCCTGGCGGGAAAGCCCCATTAAGTGTGATTGTAGTTTCTAGATCTGCACTCGGCCTCCATAAGGCTCCTACCTAGAACAGATGAGGAACTGGGATTCAGAAAGTGACGACATCTGGGGGGGGTGGGGGTGTGTGTCAGGAAATCCGAGTAGAGGCCAGGACTTGAGCTTTTCTGTCTGTAAGGGGTGGCGAGGCCATGGCAGAAAAGTATCAAACAGGCTCAGAGCGCCCTCTGTGTGGCCAGTGGACGCGATGGAGGCTGCAGGGCTGGGGATGCGGGGTGGGGGGTGGCAAAGAGGGAGCTCCTCGGTGTACCTGGCACCTTGGTACACCTAGGTACACTTAGGAGGCGAAAACAAACAAACAAAATATCAAGAGGATATTTTTAAGATGTAAATGTAATTTTTAAAGCTGAACCCCAAACCTGCCTCTCGACTGTGCACCGTCGACGAGTGGTCGGCATTTTCAGAGGGAACCTTTGGGGAGTGCCAGATAGCTGCCTGATGAAGCAGGACGAGCACCAGGCAGTAAACAAAGGTGCAGCTCCACAATGCCAGGGAGCAAGGAGCTGAGGGGGAATGGAAGCAGGCTGGGGGGGGAGCTCAGAAGGGCTCCCTTTGTCTGAGTCGAGGGAGGAGACACACAGTGAACGCTAGCTAGCGGATGAGGCTTAAGAGGCAGCTGCATCTGAAATGCTGCCCCCGTGGACAACACGACCATCCTTTTCAGATGCCATGTGGGCATTCAGTATCTGGCCACCCCCATCTCTCCCAGCGCTTTCTCTGTGGTCTCTGGAGCCTGCAGTCCCTTGACCATTTCCCAATCTGATAACCGCCCAAGAGACAGCAGCGCCTACTTAGTCACCCACGCACGCTCCCTTCACCTCACGTGCAGCTTCTGCAGACAGAGCTGAAGCCTCTGCTGGACAGACTTCAGGGAGTCACCCTCATGGCTGCGGCTCCCCAGCCCTTTATCAGCTCTCTCTCCCCCCTCCCTTCCCGACTTCCGCCCAAGCTGAAGCTAGATTGGCTCTCTGGCTCCTTTTCCCCAAAGCCCTAAATCTGAAAGTTTGTTGAAAACCTAGACGACGTTCTAAAGAAATATCACTGTCCATTACTGCCTTACAGCTCGTTCGGTTGAAAACGCATTGTTTAAAACAAAAGGATCAAGGAATTGGTGAAGAAAAAAGGAAAGAAAAAAAAAAAGGTTAGCTCTGGCTTGTAAACAGTTGTCACTAATTGCTGTGTGACTGGGGGGTGCTCATAGGAAGCAGAATGAGAATCCCGGAGACCAGTGAGGATGGTGAGAATGGCAGCCGAGCACTGAGACGGGAGCAGCTCCCACTGAAGCGTCCTCCCCGGAGCAGCACGATCAGCTGCAGCGATGAACGTATTGAGGAGCTGTGTACAGCCTACTCGGTGGGCAGATGACATTCGTTCAACTGGCTCTTGGGGGAGGACAATCTTCTGCGCAGCCGAATGTTCCCCATGTCTCCCTCCCAGGCACTCGTCTACAAAGAGGTCCCCAACCCAGCACCACCCAATCCAAGCCACAGCCTCTGGGTCGGTTTCCACTCATCCCTCCGTCCTCCAGGAGGACGGGGCACAACAGCCCTGCCGGACTTCCAAAGCTGGGAATCAGGGCGGAAATGCAGACGGCCCCATCTTTCTCCCTGGGGAGCTGAGTGGTTGGTCGGTTGGAGCCACCTGGCAATCAGTTAACAGCCCAGCCAATCAAAGCCCCATCCAGCAAGGGTTTCTGGGTAGAAATGCAGACCGCCATGGCCATACTTCTCTCCTGAGTAGACGCGTGCTCTTCGGGCCAGGGTGTAGGTTTTCGTGTTTGCTCCTTTCCGGAGCGGGTCGTCCAGGGGCGACTGGCCTGGTGGGTCCTCCAAGGGGTTCCAGTAGCTCTGCTCACACATACCCCGCAGCAAGATCTCTGCCAGCTGCCTGGCGATCGTCTGGTAACACAAAGGGGGAAAGGGAGAGACGTGAGTCTCCTGGACATCCATTTTCATCCGTCAACCAACATGGAGCAATCATCACTTTATGCTAGGCAGGATTCCAAGAAGCAGCCAGAGGTTGGGTTTGGTTTTACATTTAGGATGAAAACCATACCAGTTTATGACACAAAAGAACAGAAATTGTGAGAGGCTAGAGTTTGGGGAGTTTGTATCAATTCTGTGGCAGTGGGTTTTGGGGGGTTCATTTTGTTTTTGAGTTTTTTAGAAACGAAGTTCACGGACTTCAAACGCTGCCTTGGCCTTTGTTAGGTTTGGGAACACTGAACGCTTTTATACCTGACACAGCTACAAGGTGTGGCCAAGATCTTTGCCTAGAGCTCTTACGAAGAACAGGTAACGGCCCAACAGACGCCAGGCAAGCCCCAACCCCAAAACCTTCCAGCAAAGGACTCTGCTAGGGTTCATCCGTGCGAGAGCTCTTTAAAAAGCACGTGCCAACTTACATGCCCCCCACGCCAACAGCTTAGTGATTTCGGATGGCCACCCCAAACCAAATTCAAACCCAACCCACTGCCATCAAGTGATTCCAATCAAGAGGGTTCCAACTCAGTGAGCCCGTATGGCAGCAGACAGCCTCAACTCTTCCCCTGGAGCCGGTAGGTCGGCTGTGAAGTTCTCAGAGAGCGATGTCCAGGAGGGGCACAGCCCCTGCGCTGTGTTCTGCAACCTTCCATTCCAGCTTCATCTTGATTTCATTTCAAATCATATAAACGAACCATGACTTCAGCTGGAAGCTTCCACAGGCAAAAAAAGCCGCCGCTCACTGTGGTTGGGAAATCCACGCTAAACGAAGAGAACATTAACGAGGGCCTTCACTTCCCGGATGTATCTACCACGCAGAGGGATTCCGGCCCAATCCATTCGCTTGGACAGCTTGCGCCGGATGCCATTTCCCCTCGGAGCGCTCACCGGCCGGAGAGATTTTTGTTTTTTAAGACGATTTTGAAGCGACTTCGTGTTTTAACGACATCATCTTATCAGCGCATGATCAAATTGTGAAGGACACTTGGCTCTGCCCCCTGGAGGGTCCAGTCAAGGTCATGAAGGGCATGTGCAGATACAAAAGGGAAACGACTGTTAGGGTCACCCATGGGGTGCAAGCGTGACACAGTGGGTGAGAGGGTCGGCAGGTGTTCACCTGGGAGAGAGAAGGGCCATCAGGGGAGGGGGTGGGAGGGACTCCCTGGGGGAGGGGGTGGGCCAGTGCTGTGAACTGGTGGATGCAGAAGTAAGTGATGAGCTGAAATGTCAGCATTCCATCGAACTCATAGTAATAAATAATAACCTAATTCAGAATGCAGAACGGAGAACTCACCAAGATCACCAACACGACGCAGGGCACGTCTGACTTTTTAATAGCCTGGCCGTATGTCTCTTGCCGCTTCAAGGCTTCAAACAGTCTGGTAGCATCAGATTCAGAACGAATGGGCGGAGGGAGCCAAGCAGCCTCGAGAGGAGGCCTGAGCGTTTGTGGACACATCTGGTCGTCCAGTGTGCTTGGCGATCCTTCTCGGCTGTGCTTTCGGACCAGCTGGAGTTGGCGAGTGAAGTTTTCTACCGTGCAGGTTTGCGGTGGGCAGCTCATGGGAAGCAACACAGACCGTGTTGGAGGCTGATGGAAGCCTGTCTGAGGAATCGCATCAGCTGACGTTTCCTGAGTCCTGGTTAAAGTAGGTCACGTGGGTGAGTACGACCGGCCTGGGCCGTGAGAAAAACACTTGCCAAGTCCGTCAGTTATTTCTGGTGTGCTTCCAGATCTTGGAGGGAGCGAGTTAAGCTAGCTAGTTGATAATGACCATGGACTGTCGTAGACAACAAATCACTGTGGAATCCCTGGAAGACCTTGCCCCTGACCTGCTCGGTCTGAGGTAGGCTGTGAATAGGACACAAAAACACAACCCATTGCCAACGAGCCCAATTCGGACTCCTGGCAAAACCATCTGTTACAGGGTTGTCTTGGGGGTAACCTTTACAGAGCAGTCCCTAGAGAAGGACATCGCGCATAGTAAAGCAGAGGGGCAGTGGAAAGGAGGCAGGCCCTCAGGGAGACGGATGGACACAATGGCTGCCACAGTAGGGTCCGGCACGGGAACCAGGGTGAGGGTGGTGCAGGACAGGGCACTGTTGGGTTTCATTGTGCGCGGGCGCACTGTGGTCAGAAACAACTGTGGACAGCATCAATGTCCCCCGAGGCAGATCACCAGGTCCTTCTCCCATGGGGCCTCTAGGCGGGTTTCAATCGCCAACCGCTAGATGCCCAGCCAACGGGGAACCATGGGGTACACCCAGGATGGAGCGTATAGAATGTGTATTTGGTCAACGACCCTCGGATGATTCCGAGGCACATTTTTAATTTGACACTCCAGGAACTGGAACGGGGTTAACGAGGCCACCTGAAGATCATCGAGCCAAAGGCAAACCTGTGCCTCCAGTGACGTGAGCAGAAAGTGGCTCCCCCACCCCCCACTAAACACTGCTGAACTAGCAGCGGACAACACCCAGGTGCAGTCCTCGGCCAGCCGGGCTTTCAGGAAGCAGCCCCTCGGTGGGTGCTGCTCAGGAGCAGAGCAGAAGCACTCCCTCACTGCCCTCAGTAATGAGACCAGGGACGAGGCCCTCCTCCCTGTTTTCCGCACACATCTCTCGGTGGACCCCTACCTCAGAGGGGTTTTAAGAGTTAAAATGCACTGCCTGGAAAAGCGTAAGACAACAATCGGAGACGGTCTCCGATTTGGAACAGTGAAGCTGAAGCAGGCAGCAAATGAGTATGCGCCCACCTTCTGAAGCAGGGGTCCTCGAGCTTTGTAAACAGGGGGCCAGTTCACTGTCCCTCAGACCGTTGGAGGGCCGGACTATAGTTTTTTTAAAAAAACTATGAACAAATTCCTATGCACACTACACATATCTTATTGTGAAGGAAAAAACAAAATGGGGCAAAAACACCGGGGGCCGGATACATGTCCTCGGTGGGCCGCATGTGGCCCACGGGCCGTAGTCTGAGGACCCCTGTTCTAAAGGCAGGCAGGAATCAGTCCAGAAGCATATACTTCTGAGAGCCAACAAAATGACCACGTTATTCCGTGTGTAAGGACTAGTCCGTGATGTTGGCTGCAATCCTTTGGTGAGTGTGTCAAAGTTCCCTATTTGCTCCCTGGGTGCCCTATTTCCACTGGCCTCTTCTCCCTGTGCCCCCTGCCTTCTAGTCTTTGATTAGGGGCCAGTGTTGCCCATGTGGTCTTGTAGAGTTGATGATCCAACAGACCATGGCTCCACGTGGGGGGTTCCTGCTGGTTTTATAGGTCCATCCATTATTTGGCTGAGAAGTCTCCAGCAGTTTCTGCACTTCTGAATTACAAGGTTGTCTTGGCAACGGTCTCCAGGGTAAGTGTGTATATTTTAACCCCATAATTCTAGGAAGTCCTACAGCTTCGTCATTTAGCCCCATCAGTGATGTGTCCATGTAAACACTCGGCAGACCCCCAAACACCACAGCTTCATCGAGAAACCTTTTCCCGTGACAGGAATCTCTTAGCCTTGTTCAGATGAACACCCTCCCACAGCACTGCAAGGCGTCATGGTTGAGTGGAGGGCGATGGCAAGGATGGCACAAGACTCCAGAAACTGCGCCCCATTGACTGTGACATGTGACATTTGCTCTGCTTCCAGGAAGCCGCCTGCATTAGTCCGGGTAGACTAGAGAAACAAATTCATGGGCACTCATATGTGTATGAGAAAAAGAGGTTTATATGCAAGAGCAAATGAATATTGAGAAAACATCCCAGCCCAGTCTAGATCAAGTCTATAAGTCCGATATTAGCCCATCTGTCCGATGCCATAAGTCCGATATTAGCCCATCTGTCCGATGCCAATCCATAAAGTCCTCTTCAGACTCACGAGACACATGCAAGGATGCTGAGTGCGGGATGATCACAGGCCAGGGGGTAGAAAGTCTTTGGATCCAGTGGCATTGTAAGCATCTCAGCACTGGCAGGGGTCTCTGTGTGGCTTCTCCAGGTCCCAGGGCACGGGGAGTGTAGTGCCATGTGTCTTGTCAGCAGAGCATCTCCAAGGGAGGGAGTGGAGTGAGAGGGTCTCTCCCGCCTCCAAGGAGGAAAATACAGGAGTTCCCAGAATTCTTAGAAGAAGGCCATGCCCACGCAGAGTCCTCATTGACTATGACCCGATTGACAGACTAGACTCCACCCCTTCACTCTTAATCCTCAAATTGACACCAGATTATGTAACTACCACACCACCCCAAGTCTTCATCAACACATACAGTTCAATCAGACCGGTACCTAGGTGTCTATAAGGAGCCTCCCATACAGGAAAGTGAAGGGGTTAAAAAAAGGTGAGGGGCATTCAAGACAAGAGGAAAGCCAGGCTTCTGATAAGCCAGCTAATGAGATGTGCTTTACTCATTTTTCTCTTCCAAGTTTTCAGCCAGTGGAATTAGCCAGACAACGAGGTTCTCCTTAGCCTCCACGATGCTTTGCTCCGAGTTTTGGCATAAATCTTTCTCCACACGGATCTTCCACGGGGCCCATCTGCCTTCCAAGAACCAAACCCACTGTCACCGAGTCCGTTCCAGCTGCAGGACAGGGCGGAGCTGCCTCCGTGGATTTCCTAGATGGTCATTCTTTATGGGAGTAGAAAGCTTGGTCTTTCTCCAGCAGAGCAGCTGGTCATTTCAAACTGCTGACCTTGATGTTAGCAGCCAAACACATAACCCCCAGGCATTTCAAGAGGGAGGACTGACATTAAGCAAACGAAAAAAGACTCAACATCATTAGCTATCAAGGAAATGCAAATGACTGTTACACCAAGCTGGTACTTCACACCCACTCATCAAAATAATCCTGTAGTCAGTAAATTCTGACTCACAGCAACCCTATAGGACAGAGTAGAACAACTCCCATCGGGTTTGAAAGGCTGTAGTCTTTATGGAAGCAATCCCCCCATCCCCGACCACCCCCCCCACCACCACCACCCCCGCCCACAGAGTGGCTGGAAGTTGGATGCAAACTTCCAACCTTTAGGTGAGCAGCTGAGTGCTTAACACTGTACCACTTGGGTGGCGGTGACTGAAAAAGCAGGTAATCACAAGTGTTGGCAAGGGCATGGGGAAACTGGAGCCCTCATCACTGCTAGCGGGAATGTAAAAGGATGTAGCCACTTTGGGGAGCAGTCTGACAGTGCTACCAAAGAGGGCTCCCGAAACATAAGCACACCATGTGACGCGGCTCTTACGTCCTTAGGTATAGGCCAAAGATGAATGAAAATACATTGTAACCCCTAAAACTCGTGCAGAAGTGTTCAAGCAGCTTGTTCATCATAGCCACAAGGCACTAGGGTCTGTGGCCGGATAAACAAATCCATAAAATGTGGTGGATGCCTACAGTGGAAGGTTCTGTGGCCATAGAAAGGAAAGGGGGACTGGAGTGTGTGAGAGCATGGGTGACCCTGGAAAACAGTACACCGCGTGAAAGAAGTCGCTCATGAGTCCACATATTGTGTGATTTCAGGTAGATGAAGTGCCCACAATTAGGGAAGGCTATACAGACCACATGTAGTCACAGAGTTTCTCTTGAAGCTGAGGAAATGCTCAGGAATTGAATATTTGTGTGGGCTGGATGGCTGTACACCTCTCAGAGCATACTAAAATCCGGCCA